AATAACAGAAATGTAACATCACCAACCCCAAAATCCAGTTGTATGAACAGTTCCACAGTGGGTCTGTCTGCACATCCTCAAAGTCCACTCCTCAACTCCTTCCTAGCTCACATAAATCTGAATTTCCTCCTCCAGTATTTTAAGCCGGCTGCCAGTTCCTTCCCTTCAGCAACTGGAATGGAAGAAGGTAACAAAGCAGCTTTGAGGCCACAAGAACAGATGGCTCCGTCAAATGGCCGAGAATCACGTCTGGACAAACCTTAAAAGACTTAAAAGATCAACCTGTGTGCCCTTACCATCTCCTGCCATGAAGCCAAACTAGCCCCCAGAAGAGAATCTGCAACCTGCAAAAATAAATTGTGAAACACTGGCTTGAATAGATTGATGAAAAAGGGTCCTATTTCTCCCCCCCTCCAAAAAAAAAAAAACCTTGGCCATGCTTCCTTGGAACTAAGTCCCACTGTAAGCAGATGGTCATATCTCAGAGTAGAACCAGAGAATCATTGAACCATGGAGTGGGAAGAGACCCCCAAGGGCCATCTAATCCAACCCACTTCTGCCATGCAGGAACTCACAATCAAAGCCCTCCCTGGGACAGATGGTCATCCAGCCTCTGTTTAAAGACCCCCAAAGAAGGAGACTCCACTACACTCCAAGGAAGCGTCTTCTACAGCTCTCACTTTTAGGAAGTTCTTCCTAATGTTGAGATGGAATCTCTTTTCCTGTCGTTTGCATCCATTGCTCCATTGTGTCCTTTTCTCTGGAGCATCAGAAAACAAGCTTGCTCCATCCTCAGTATAACATCCCTTCAAATATTTAAACATTATCATGTCACTTCTTAACCTTCTCTTCTCCAGGCTGAACATACCCAGCTCCCTAAGTCGTTCCTCATAGAGCTTGATGGTTTCCAGACCCTTTCACCATTTTGATCTCCCTTCTCTGGACACGCTCCAACTTCTCAACATCCCTTTTGAACTGAGGTGCCCAGAACTGGACACAGGATTATTCCAGGTGAAGTCTGACCAAAGCAGAATACAGTGGCACTACTATTTCCCTTGATCTAGACAATGTACTTCTATTGAAGCAGCCAAGAATCGCATTGGCTTTTTAGCTGTTGCATCACACTCTTGGCTCATGTTCAGCTTGTAGTCCACTAAGGCTCTTAGGTCCCTTTCACAGAGTAAGGAAGCAGGGGCCTGCCTATCCAGTGGCATCTGGTGGTTTCCATTTCACTGAGGCAATAAATTTGTGCTGGGTTTCAGTCTGAACTTTAATGGAACCATCCAATGTTCTGAACCTAATTTCAAGATACTGCTCAGCACCTTGGACAGCTCATTCCCTGTCAAGCCTAAAACTAGATTTTCTTTCCTGCTAACATGGAAACCACTTGCGATCACACGCACATGCCATTTCCAAGACAGTATTGCAAGACAGGGGTTGCATCCACAGTGCAGAAATAATCCAGTTTGACACCAATTTAACTGCCATGGCTCAGTGCTATGGAATTCCGGGAACTGTAGTTAGGTAAGACATTTAGCCTCCTCTGTTAAGAGAGCTTTTGGGATCACAAGAAACTACAATTTCCAGAATTCCATAGCATTGAGCCGGAGCAGTTAAAGCAATGTCAAACTGGATCATTTCTGCAGTGTGGATGCAGCCAGGAAGGGCTGTGTCAAATGATGAACTGTTTAAGATGAAAAGAACCTAGATCTTTGGGCCTAGAAGTGGCAAATCCTAGTATCTAGTTCTTTTAAGCTCTTACATTATTATCCTAGGAGGTCCTTTAAAAAATAGAAGAACTTCTTCCTGTACCACAGTTCTTGTAACTTTGTTTTGAGACATAATTGGTTGTTGTTGTTTTATATATATAATATTATATATTAAATTGAATATATTATAATGTAATTGGTTGGCTGGCTGGTTTCCTAATTGGCTAAGACAGCTGGAAATACTGTGCGTCCTGGCTATCTATGATTTTATTTTGGTCCTCCCTGAGTCCATTTTCATATTCTGTAGCACTTGAAGTTCCTCTATGCACCAAGACTTCTTTCTAGGATCCATTGAAAGCATATTGCTGGCCCTGGACAGCATTTGCCATAGAGTTCTCAAACAAATCTAATGTGAAATTGTTGATCTATTAACAAATAACTAGAAGCTTATCATCTCTAAACTCATGCTCCTTGCTGGAAGACTGGAAAGCAGCCAACCAAATGCTAAGGGTTTATTTTTTTTTTAAAGGCAGGAAATCATGCATCTGTTGATCTGATGCCTGTCTAAGGTATCAAGTGGGCAAACTTCAAATGTTGTTTAGACTGCAACTCCCATCAACCCCATCCAGAACAGTCAGTGGTGAAGCATACTGGAAGCTGCAGTCCAACGTCATCTGGAGAAACACATAATTCACATCCTTGTTCTAAGGTAAACAGGAGACAGCTTAAAGCTAGAAGGGATGAAGTATAAAGAAGAACAAGCCCTATAGCAAAACCCTATAGCACTATAACAAGTGTTATATATCAAAGAGAAGCCCTGATTCAATGACCTGTGATTTTTAGTGGCATTTCCAAGCTTGTGGATAGCAGTAATCTAGTACAGCAGGTTTGGTTCCAGGACCCCCCTCCCCGGGGATACCAAAATCAGTGGGTGTTAAAAACATTGGCATAGTAAAATGGTGTCCCTTATATAAAATGGCACAATCAAGATTTGCTTTTTGGAACTTATATATAGTAGGCCCTCTGTATCCACAAATTCCTTATCCACAGATCCAGCCATCCACGTCTTGAAAATATTTTGAAATATTTAATTCCAAAAAACAACAACATGATTTTACCATTTTATATAAGGCCCCAGGGTTCTCAATCTGTGATCTTCCATGTGTTTTGGATTGCAGCTCCTAAAATGCTTGACCACTAACCAAACTGACTAGGACATCTGGGAATGGAAGTCCAAAACACCTGAAGGACAAAAGAAACCATTGATCTAACAGAAAGCATATGCTCTAAGTCCCACAATCCCTAAATAAACAGGATACTAGATTAGAAGGATCCAGGGTTGGAT